GCCCCGGCCCCGCAGTGGCCGCCTGCGCCGAGGCGGAGCGCATCGAGGAGCTGGAGCCCGAGGCCGAGGGGCGGCCGCCCGCGGCGCCGGAGGACGTGAGTGCCCCCCTCCCCGCACCGGCAAACTTTCTGGGGGGCGCCCGCGGGGGGAGGGCGGCTGCCCCCGTCTCACCCCTGAGGGGCTACTTGGAGGTTTCAAGGTGATGCGGGAGCGCCCGGGATTGGCCGGGTCCCCGCGAGCGGGAGGGGCGAGGACCGGTCTCCCCCGATCGCGCGCGCCACCCCGCGCCCCTGCGGGACCCGCGCCGCGCCAGGACCGGAGCCCCCTCCCCGCGCTGGTGCAGTGCCCGGGACACGGCGCTGCCTGCAGAGGCGGCCGCGTCACGGCAGTGACTCGCTCCCCTCCCCGCCGCGACCTGCGGGCTCTGCCGGCCGGGGGAGGGAGCGGGTGCCGCAGAGTCCTCCGTCCCCGGGCGCACAGACCGGCCTGGCCACCCCCTTTCCCGCTCCCAGGTTAGCTGTTTTCCGGCACCTGCCGGGTCGCGACACTGATTGAAATTCAAACTGGCTTCCATCCCTGAATCCGGCCCGGACTGGGAGGGGAGGAGTGCGGGGGGCGCTTTGGCTCCCAGGAGGGCGCCCCGGAGTCCGAGGGCTCTCGGGCGGGCGAGGCCAGGGAAGGGCGGTCCCAGAGGGCTTCCCTGACCTCTGCGGCTCCTCTCCTGCCCTCCACGCCCGGGAGCCCACGGCGGGTCCCGCACTGGGCAGCCCTAGGAACTGGAGTTGCTTAAGCTTCTCCTCCGGGGGTTAACCTGCAACGAGGGCTGGATAATTGGGCGGATGCTGCATCTGGTCCTCAGGGTGGGGAGATGGACCTGAAACCAGACCCCACAACCTGCAGAGGGAAAGCCGGGGAGTTTACCGTCTCCTGGCTTCTGGATGGTTAATTCTATCACTTCCTTCTGGCCCTAAACCCCAGGTAGAGGAGTCTCATGTACTCAACACGGAAACTCAGCTTTGGAAAAGAATGAGTGGATTTCAGCACATCGGGGACCCCCCCTTTCCCCTCCCCCCAAAACCTGCAAGCAAAATGTCAGTGCTTATGCAGGGTCCAGTTCTGAGTGTGGGATCCGTGGCCCCAGCAGGGCCCGAGGGACTTGTGTTTGAGCATGCATTCGGAGAGACTAGATGTGGGTATAAGGTGCACAGCAGAAGTTATCCAAGGCCCCTGGGCAGAGTTGGGCGTCTTTATTTGGTAATTGCTGGGGATCATCCTTGCTCTGCTCATCCCTCTACCTAACTGTCCCACACCCGGGACACCGGCCCTGCCGGCCCCGCGCCCGCCTCCACCCGCTCTAGGAGTTCCCTCTCTGCCATTTGGGGAGCTCTTCCTAGGTTTTCTCTGGACTCCTGTGACTTGCCCCCTAAGCCTGGTTCTGACCTGGGCAGCAGCTGGGAGGCTAGGTCAGAAACATCAGGGGACTACAGAGACCTTGGTGATGTGTGTCTTTCTTTCTCTTCTCTTCCTCCTCTCATGCATGGCCTTCCTCTCTACCAGCACTGGAAAGTCCTGTTTGATCAGGTATGTGAGCAGTTAAATCCCCCCCCCCTTCCAGCCCTCCCTGAAAACAGTCCCAGTCTCCCTGCTTGCGTGGGCTTCCCTAGCTCGGCGCTCCTGAGATAGTGACGTGGCGTGGAGGTGTGGCTTATTGCATCCCGGGCTGAACAACTCTGCTCTCCAGGTAGCAGGAGGAGACAGGCTGTGGGCTCCCCTGAGAAAACCCCTCCCCACCTCCCGCTCCACCAGAGCTGGGCTGATACCTTGTAAGAATTGGGCAGTATGTGTTGAACGCCTGGGAAGTTTTCTACCGAACCTGCAAGGGATTGCAGGAGGAGGCTGGGGAGGTGGGGGAAGGGCTTGAGCTAACCACCCGCTGGTTCCCTGTCTCCCTCTACCGTAAAGGTCAGTGGCCACCACTACAATCTCTGCCATCCTTGGGGCTGACTCACAATATAGGCTCTTTGGAAAGCTGATTTTGTTTCTTTACTTCTGCAACAGGGAGGGGGAGTGCTGGGAGGTTACGCTTGGAAAACTGTGTGTGATTTGCAATGCCTCCAGTCTAGGTGTGCGTGGGGGGGCAAGGCTTTTCTTATGAACTGGGAGATGTGCGTTTGACCTTCAGCAAGGACCTGGTTCCCTGCTTGGTACTCAGGTGCCATTGTGTGTTTCCTTTGTCCTCTTTGTCCCGTGTGCAGGGGAGGAGGCAGATGCCCCAGCGTCGGCGGATAGTTCAGTGTGAGAATGATTGTGATCTGCAGTTTGTGCAGGTTTAATAGATCTGTGTGTTTGGACCAGAGGAAGCGTGTTGAGTTAGAGGGGGAAATAAAGCTGAGAAAGCAGCTTGAGTCAAACTTTTGTTCTGGGCAGAGGAAGCCTTTGAAAGTTTCTAAGCAGGGTTGCTTTGGGATGCAGGCAGTGCTGGAAAGATCCCTTGGGATAGTGGGAAAGGGGCGAGATGGATTTCATTTCAGGGATGAGAGAAACTAGCCAGAGGCCTGCTGCAGTGAATGGAGACAAGCACCTTCTGTTAGCAGCTCCCTATTACTATGAGTACCTGAGATAATCAACTTATAAAAAGGTCATTTTGGCTCATGGCTTTAGAGTTTCATCCCATGACTGGTCGGGTGTGTTGCTTTTGGGCCTGTGGCAAAGCAGCCCTTCAAGGCAGAAGCACATATCGGAGCAAGAACCCCTCACCAAACCAGGCATGATGACGCTTGCCTGTAATTCCAGCAGTCTGGGAGAGGCTGAGGCAGGAAGACTGCAAGTTCAAGTCCAGCCTGGGCAACTTCGTGAGACTCTGTCTCAAGATTAAAAATTTGGTATAAGGGCTGGGGGAGGTAACTCAGTGTGAAGGCCCTGGGTTCAACCTCTAGTACTGCAGGCACGAGCAACAGCAGAAACCCCCATACCTCATAACCGTGGAGCAAAGAGAGAGAGACAGAAAGAGCTGGGTCGCGTGATAAGGTCGCACCCTTCGAGTTCCCACCACCTCCCGCTTGCTCCAGGCTGGGGACTAGGCTTTAACACATCAGCCTTTGGGGTACACTTACCTGAACCGTAGTTTGTGTACCTCAGTGTGGACAGTGAGAGGGAGGATGGGAAGGAAGAGAAGCCATGGCAATAGGGGATGAGGCCTTAGTAGACTGGAGTAGCTGAGGGGAACCACGTTCTAACTGAGAGTCTAGACGTAAGAGGAAAAGGAGGAAGGCTGGCAAAAAAAAAGGACAACTTCGGCTTCGACAAATTCAGTCTGAGGGGCCAGCTAGATGCGGACGCCCAAGAGGAGCTGAAGAGCCGCAGGGTAAAAGACGCGGTGAGCCCGGGGTGAGGATTTGGGGTTATCCTCGCCCTTTCCTGCGAGGCCTGGCTGTGGTTTGAGGCTCCCTGCTCTTGTCCCAGAGGGATAGTGTGTCCCGGCTCCTGAGTGCCACCCACTCTCCCCCTCGGGCCCTAAGAGTACAGCAGCTGCTGGCCTCACGCCGCCCGGTGCTGCAGCAAGCTGCCAGCCCTTCACACCTCCTACCGGATTTAGACTCAGAACCTAGAACAAAGTGTCTCTTGCTTCTTCTCTGTGTCTTCCACATTTGATTAATTTCCTTTGCCAGTTCCTATGCGTGTGTTTACATTGTAAGACGAGCCATTTGGGTGAATGGAGGAGAAATTTCAGTAGGAAGAATTTGGAGCTCGAGGGAGCAGGGAGAATGTGTAACACCCAGGAGTTAGCTGACGGTCCCTAAGATCCAGTGTCTCCAACTGGAGGGAGACCCTGGGGGTGTCACAGGGAGTATCCCCTTGCTCCTGGGGAGGCCCACCCAGCATTCGTTCTGGACAGATGCAATGAATTCCAGGAAAACTGACTATTAAAATCTATCAGAACAGTAAGTTCAGCCTGATATCTGCTTCCTACCCCTCACAAGGCATCAAAAGCCTGTTTCTTCCTTCCCCTTGGCGCTGTGAGTTCAAGGAGAGCTGCTCCTGAGCATGGCTTTGACCCCCGGCACAAAGCCAGCCCTGTGTTTATCTGTACCACGACTGTTAGCACCTCTCGACCATTCCCCGATGGGGCTGCAGGAAGGGTAAATATGAAGCTTCTCAGATACTCGGGCTCGGAAGGAAGGCACGTTGTTCAGAAAGCTGATGGGCCCTGTTTTGTGCCTGTGCCTCGGCCTGGCTAATGGTAGGATTCAGACCTGGTGAACGTGGTGAACATGGTGCACGCGGGTTGCAGACGGCCCCTGCCCCAACCCCCTTTTCCCGCCGAAGTAAATCAGGACAAGTCCCCTTGTGGTGAGCAGGACACGACACCTGTCAGAGTCCCGGCAAGCAAATGTGGCTCCTGAGTCCACCTTCCAGAGGTCAGTGGTAGAGAAGGATGGAGCCAGTCAGGCACGTCCTCCCTCCCTTTAGGGGGACACTAGGGGTCACCCAGGTTCAAGCAGATCTTCTGGGGTCCGTTTGTCAGGTGGTAGGGTTAGAGCTGGACCAGTGCCTGCACGCTGTGTGCCTCCTTAGCATGAAGCTACTGGAGCCCAAGAGCTGGAAGCCACAGTGCTGGCTGGGGTCACCCTTCTGCTAACTGGCCAGCACATCTTTTGTGAGAATTGGAGGTGACCCCAGCCCCTCAGTAGCTTCCCCGGTTTCCCGCCATTCTGGTGTTCGGCCTGCTCATGCAGACGTATAGCAGGCCCAGCCCATAGCACCCCGTCTCCCCCACTTCCCTGTGTCTTCCCCCCAGCAGCACCTGGGGTCATTGTTCAATGCACAGATGTTCCATGTGTTCGTTTCCTACCTAAGGAAAGGGTCTTTTCATATCTGTGGGATTATGGATGATTTTCCTAAATATTTCAACAGAATTTAAAGTTACCAGCTGGAGATATAGCTCAGTGGCACGGCACCTGCCTGGCAAACACGAGGTCCTGAATTCAATTCTCACTACTAAATAAATAAATAAAATTATACCATAAATATTCTGTTGTTATAGTACAACCTCATGGTAAAAAAATGTTCTTTTGTTGTTGAATCAGTTGAGTTTTTCCTTCATGGTTCCTTCTATTGCTTCAGACCTGAGGGTGTTTGTATCTCTCTCCAGATCTTATAAATATGCTGCTCTTACTTTCTACTAGCTTTTCTATGTTGTTTTTGTTTTTTTTTTTTTTTGTACTGGGAATCAAACTCACGACCTTGTGCTTGCTAGGCATTGATTATAAAACAATCATAGGGGCTGGGGATTTAGCTCAGTGGCAAAAGCGCCTGCCTGGCAAGCGCAAGGTCATGAGTTCGGTTCCCGGTACCGGAGAAAAACCAAAAAAATAAAAAAATAAAAAAATAAAAAATAAAACAATCATAGTTGGGCTTGGTAGTGCACACCTGTAATCCCAGTACTCTCAGTGGCTGAAGCAGGAGGATTCCAAGTTTGAGCCCAGCCTGAGCAACATAGTAAGAACCTGTCTCAAAATTTCAGTTTACTTTATATGTTGTTTGAGAAATCATACTTTTTTATATGATTTGCTAAATTTTATATGTGGTTGGGCTTATTTCTGATCTATGCCCCTGATATTTATAGTTTTGCACGAGTATGTGCCCTTTAGTTATTGCTTTGTGTATTTTCCAGAGCTTTCTGAAAAGCCCTTTTTTTTGAGGTTATGTTTTTGTCCTTTCCTGAATTCCAGGGAGGTTTGCCTTACGTTGAGATATTTTGCCCAAGGTCAAATGGTAGAGCAGTGGCAGATGAGGAAGTGAAGCCCTGTTAACCCACAAAAGGTTTTCTGTATTGAAAAAGCCAGGTTCACTATTTAAAAAAAAAAAAAAAAAAAGCCTCCAAGACCTCTGAACGTTTAAGGAGGAAAATGGTTTGGCGCAGAGTTCTGTGAAGTCAACAAAGCACGATTGCTTTGGAGCTCAAAAGAAGGAACAGTAGAATTGGAAGTCACCTCACTGTGGCTCCCTTTCCCCTTCCCAGCCAAGAACATACACTTCCAAGACCACAAAAGAGACCCCACTTTTGCTAATAGCTCCACTCGCCAGTAGGAAGTAGACAAGTGTTGACTGTCCCAGCCGAGCTGCACACGCACGCTCTGAACAGAGCACGGGACAACCTAGGTGGGCTACTCGGGGCAGAACCTTGGATTTGAAGGCAGATAAGACCTGGATTCAAATCTTACTGGCTTTGTAACTAGGGACAATTATATTATCTCTCTGATAATGGGGGTGATGACCTTTAACTCCAGTGATTATGAGAATGACGTGGACGTGGACACTCTCTTGTGTATCTGATTCCTAGTGGACATGTAAGATGTTTTTGGTGTTAGAATTTGCTGGGAAGCAGCACAAGGACCACTTTTGAGATCAGACCCTAGTACAGTAGGAACGAGCTGCCCCTGAGCCCAGAGGAGTTTTCTGCTTTCTTTCTCCATTGTGCCCCCTGCCCAGCACCCTCCCCTCCAGCCTGGGGGTCTTCCTTGGCCCGACGACGCTGATGCCCACCTCATTTGTAGTCCCCCTGCAAGCTGGGGGCTGCA